ATGTGAAATCTTGCGGAGAAAATACTTGAGGGACACGAGAGGAGAAATTTAGTGGTGCGTAAAACAAGTAAGCAAGTTTGTTTTGACCTTATCTTTGAGTATACAATGGTTTATTAATGTTACGTCGTCCGCTATTCTGTGTACCGAATGAAGAATTTGTTTCGAAAAAATGTTCCGGATCGTGTCCGAGGTAACACAAATCGGTGATTTTCGCGAGCTTCGAAACTGCTTACGAAATAACTACACTGTTTTGAAGATATATAATGGGTGTTATTTAAAGATTAATGTCCCTACTTTCGATCGAGACTACGCTGTGGGAAGGATTTTAGCGGATAAAATTTCTGTGACACTTCAAACAAAATTACCTCAATTTTGCCAGCCGCTGGTAGGGGCTGAGTTCCTCACCTTTCTAGTTTTATATATTCATTTTTTTATTTTTTTTTTGATAGACGTGCCCACCACCTNTGACGTGATGGAAAGTCGCTGACCGGCTGATCATGATGCGACCTTCACCTTCACCGACTTCACCGGAAAGGAAATAATCAACATATGTGCGTGCATTATGGTGGAATATATAACGAGGGTGGTTGCAAAACACGTGTTTGCAAAACACGTGTTTTGGTTGCAAAACACGTGTTTTGCAACCAATGTTCAGACCGATGCTACTTTTTGCAACATTGTTCTTCACACATGGTATGTACTCTGTAGGCGAATGCTCGACGTTTTGCAGACCAGAAACAACTGAACACGTGTGACGTCAGATACGATGTTTATTTCAATCAATCAAACATTGGCACGCTATCGACATCGTTCGTCAAAACATGAAATCAACGCTTGACAGTACATGTACGGCACTACCCAGTAAAGTAAAAACAGAAGTAATTAATAATTTACCATGTTGTCTTCAGACCTGTACATTTTAAATGTCAATAATTAATAAACCATTTTCACTGCACGGACCCACATACTTTAGGTCTATAGATCCGTGTAATCTTTTGAATGGCAGGCCTGTCAAATTTTTTGATCCCGCCTGACAGTTATGCTATTTTTGTTAATTCATGATAAAATACGGGGAGGTTGTTGGAACAGCATGCGTGCGCATTATTTCACGTGCATTGGTTATTGGCATTGGTTATTGGCACGCGCATGGTATATCGCTCAATAATGCACTCTTTTTAACCAATGAAAACCGTCGTTACATCACAGACGTGTTAGAATCAGCAATAATACATGCGCGTGCATGTAAACAATGCACGTGCAACGCTCTTCTAAAAGCCTCCCTCCTATTGCGAAAATGAATAAGTGAGTCGCCGTGACTTGTTTTCGTTATATAAGGAAAGGAACACGTGTGCACGTGCGTATCTAATCGTTTTATAATTATACCACCAGTTTAACTGACAGGACAAGAAAACTGGCTGCAGCATCCAGAAAACATTGCATCATCTATGAGCGTGAAGCGAAAACGAGGCATTATTAAACAAACGTTTGCATGCGCTAAAGAACACCATGATTTAAAAACATGTTATTGAATTATTGGCGTAGACACAAAAGTACATGCAATTACATTTTCATTTGGTAGAATAGATTCGAAAATGTTCGGAGTCTAATTAACTCATGCCGAATCAGGTGGAACCGTTCGTTTTAATTATTTTTCCCAACCTTTTACTATTTCGCCATAATACAAGTAGACCTGTTAATGATTTTTAAAACAGGTTATCCGAACAAATTATACTAAATTTGATAGTTAGAGGCCTTGTTAAACGTTAGAATTAAAAAACCCAACAACATGACAATCGTTTACTATTCATGTAATGTTCGGAAACATAAAAACACTATACGTAAGATCGTTCTTATAATGTTTCGGAATGTAGATGCTTCCGGATTCTGAGGTTTCCGGATTGTGAAGTTCCGGATTGTAAGAGTTCCAGAATTGTAAGCTTTCCGGACAGTGGGCGATGCAGCTGAGAGTTACGGATTTCAATTGTTCTACATTGTCAGTTTTCTATATTGTGAGAGTTCCGGATTATAAGTTTTATTCCGGATTGTTATAGATTTTTAGTTTTCCAGATTATTCGAATGTGAATTTGTAAACTCCACAATAAACAAGATACATTTGTACATCTCTGTATAAACAGTATACTGTCTTTTCTTAGAAGTTTATTTATCTCTTACATCGATTGATTTCCAATCTACGTACGCCATTCCTTCTCACTGCCCCGTTTTCGCCACTACCAGTGAACACACTGCCAAGGATCTCTCCGCGACACACTTGATCGATTGCTTTCCGAAAGTCGATCCTTTTAAATTTTGTCGCCAGATGACATTTAATGTAAAGCCTACTTCACAGCACTGTACCGATAAATATTTATTTTGAACAATATACCACGTGATTAAATCTTCGGTTTCACCTGGGATTTTACCTGGTCTGTGTACTGTTTTGGGTCCCGTAGCGACTCGACTTTAACGGCGAGTGCCTACCTGTAATACTCGGTTACTAAACCTTGTATACAAACTGTGAAAATGTCGAACAACTCTGGAGGAGGGTACTGGATAAATGAGAGCATCAAAGATGACCAGTTTGATGATCTGTACACGATTGGTCCGGAATTGGGAAGGTACGTTTTCTAATTAGAATGACCTAACGACGGAGATCCCACCTGTGTAATCTTGTGGTGTATACATACATTTACCTATCTATGTATCGTCTTGAACATGCTCTATCAGAGCTGGTTCTAGTGAGAGATTTTCAAACATGTGTATCAATTAAAAATGGATTACCTACATATTAATTAAATTGATTGGGCTAAATGATGGATATTTATGGCTTAAAGACATTGTCATGGTGACGGGTTAATAACGTACCCGGGTAAATTCATTAACGAACGAGTGGCACGTGACTTAATTATGATATAGTAGTCGGCTATATTGTTATCATTTTCTTTCGAAGTAATCTTAATTTTATCAAGTATGTTGCACGTGCATAATTGAGTATGTATGACAAGTTGTACATACGTAACCCGGGCTATATTTCTTACACATTAAATATTAATCTTTCGGCTCGGCTTATATGCCACTTAGAATGTATGATATTATATATATGTGATATATAAAGTAGGACACACAATATCTATGCACGTGCTTGTGTGTACGTGCAGGTGGGTTGGGTTAGGGGGGGGGGGGGCACATTGTCGCCTCATATGATCAAGTAGTAGGTCACTAGATGTTTATTCTTTCCCCGAACCAGCAGGGGGTGGATGGTATGAAAGGCGTGTTAATATTTACATATACGCGTACATGTAGGTGTGGTGTGCGTTGTAACTATACATGCTAGTATCATAACTGATTTTCGGACTCAACCGCTCTAATGTTCGGACATCTGCGAGTGACCGCTCTAATGTTCGGACATCTGCGAGTGACCGCTCTAATGTTCGGACATCTGCGAGTGACCGGTATTTGTCTCAAGTGATGATCAAATGTAGAACTAATGTTCAGATTTGTCAGTGTTGTCAAAAGATAAGATATTATAGACAAAAACGATTAAGATCTGACTGTCAATTATATTGAAAATTAACAAAAACCACTAATGATAACTTTGTGAGTGTGTTTTATGATAATTTCGAAATTATTTCACACCTGTACATGTTTATCCCACATATGCATGTTGTCACACAACACAGTGTACGTACTTTTAATTTAAAGTATTCGGAGTCGGATGAGGTCGTCAAAATTCACATACTAATCAACACAAGAATGTATTAAATCCAACACTTACTAGTCTATTGTAGAGGGTTGTATGTATGTAAATGTGTAAGGTTTAAAAATCCAGGTACACAACTGTAAGGGCTTTAGGTAAGTGACAATGACGTCACAACATTGCCAACCTAATTAAGTAAAGGTAAGTGGAATACTCCCAAGGGAATTAAATCTACCCGTCATACCTACATTGGTATCTAAGGTCAAACTACGCTCAGGTCTTCTAATGCCATGTGTAGACACACTTTTGTATATTGATCAGAGTACAAAGTACTGTTAGCTTACTGAAAAAAATAATGCGAAGAACGCACATAAGGCACACAACGGGATAGTTTAGAAAATATATTAGCATTGATTAAACTTGCATGTATAAGATCTATAGACAACACTATACAATAATTGAGAAAGAAAAGACGTCTTGTAAACAAAAGCATATTAAAGTTGTAACATGTAAAAGCCACGGAATTATATTACTTTGTCCGTGGTTAAGCTAACTATGCTTCGAAAACCCTGTAGTAAACATAGTTACATATATTACTGTGGAAGTATACATGCAGGCTCCATTGTAGCTAGATACAGTATATTAACGATACATTAGGTAACATGATAATTATGTTTATCGTACTAAGATGAAGTGAACCCGGGTTACATATAGGGCTAATTTTAGTAATAGTAATTAAGGACATATCCATTAGTTAAATCATTACCGGAATGTATCATTAACCTAATAAAGATTGGTATGACACCAATCTTCCTGGTTATGCACAAACGTTGTGATTATCTTATATATAGCTACAGATACTGTATCTCCAATATCTCTCTCCCCCCCCCCCCCCCCCCCCTCCTCCCACACACACAGTAAAGTAAAACAAATGAAACACCATATAATAACACCATATATTTCTGCAATACATATTATTTTTACGGCATTCGAAGGTATATTATTGACACAAACAAATATGAAAATCTGGCAGTAAGTGAGTTAGACGTTCATGATGTCCTCAGTTCTGTTTTAGTGTGTCCTTGTTTAATAATGTCAGTATTATCTCAGCTGGGTGAGATCGGTACAAAATAAATGTATATTCACATGTACATCGCACACTCGTTTCATTCTGCACTCAAAAATATAAAAGAAGTGTAAGGAACTTTGCACTCTGCTATGATTTTCCTTGTTTCCACCCCAGGCAGTTAATATAAACACACGCTCAGTGAATATAAAGCACACAGAACGGAGGATAACTTGTAATGACTGTAATTGTCGTCTGATAACACCGATAAATAGGGCATATTATGAGCTTTTCTCTTACACTTTCGATTAAAAATAGGTGAGTTAATTTTGTTGGTGCAGTACTATAAGTTGCTATATATATTGACCCGTCGTAAATCCTAACAGGTCAAATGAGATCATATTACCCGTATGAAATTAAGATAAAATATAATTTTGATAATTATACCATAATCATAATAGTTTTTTAATGTATTTTACATCAAGACTAAAGGATCATATCAGGAATGACGAAGTTGATCAAATTCACACACACAGCGAAAATCTATAACAGTATAAACTATTCCAGATGACACGCAGCCTCACCTAGTCAGGGTGTTTAGCTCCAAGGACAGATTAGATGATGAACTGGCACGCTTCTATACAAATATTGATTATATCAGGGATAAATTGATCACACGGAAAAAAGCCACAGTTAATATGAAATTGATAACGACCAAGGCATAATGCAATCGGACCTTCATTGAGCCACCCAGTCCTAGGGCTGGCTTCTGGAGTGTGCAACAATATAAAAGATCAATTCTCTGTTATTTTTCAGTTAATTGCAGGAAATAAAATCACTGCACGTTTTCTGTGGTTTTTTTTTAAAGGAGTATTAATTAATTACTGAAACTAAAACTCTTTGTTCTGTCCGAGGCTGTATAACGAAATCTATCTTTACTCTAAACTGTTGGGTTTCATGACATTTCATTGAACACATGAGCAAATATATCAGAACTCTCCGGTTTCATATATACGGTATCATTGTACTCCAACAGAATTAAAGCTTAACTCTCCGGATTGCTGATGTTACATTGTAGAGAGAATTATAACTGGCCAGTCGATCATAATTCATCATAGCAATAACACAATCGGGAACCATCGACACTTGCCGTAAACGGGTATTTTCTCGTTTACGGAAAGTGCCGACAGTTCCCGATTGAGCAATAACCGCGAGTGCCGTTCTTATGTTTCATATATTTCAAACATTCGTGTTTCCCACTCTGTGACGGGGCCAAAGTGTCCAATATAATGATAACGAGGTTACATCTTAACTGCTTTGTTTCTTTTTCTCTTTTTTAACTGCGCTTTTACATATCATGATCGTTTATCGTTACAAATGCTGCGGGGCAATGACTTATTGTGTTTTTTGTTTACAGAGGCACGAATTCAATCGTCAACAAGTGTACCAGTTGTTTGACCGGTGAAGCTTGGGCGGTCAAGACGGTCAATAAAAGGGTAAGTACTGACTGTCGTATACATAATGACCTAAGCACCCTCACACGTCAAGGCTCTTGACAATGAGGTCGATACCGGTCGTAATTTGAAAGATTTATGGGCGAAAGCAGATAAAAACCCGAAAAGACATCAAAACAAAAGTCAGAGTGTCATAAAATAAAACAAAATATCAGAATGATAAGCATTTCCTTCTCCACGTGGCTCCCGCCATGGTGTCTCCCTATCACACACAGAAAAGTTTAAAGGCCACTAATTAACGATATAAGACACGATGAACATGGTTTTAATAATGACAGACGCCGTGTTCCGGAAGGGTAAGCGTTTCTTGAGTCAAATTATGTGGCTTATCAAAAACAGGAATCAGTGTCGATCACCTGACTGTCCCATTAGAGTTATATGATTTCACTAATGTCGACATTCTGCAGAGTCGTGGATTTTCCCCTTTGCCCTCCATTTTGTGAATGTCTATTTTTACATCGTTGATTGGTCCAAAATGATTTACATTGTCGATGGGCCGTAAAACAATGCCAATAAAAACAAAACCTACGCCCTCCTGTTAAACACACTAAAGCGTATATCTCGCTGCCTGCATTGCAGCACTTATAGTGATCTTCCTCGTTTCTCATATTCTGTGTTTAAACAAATTGAAAACGCAACCCTTCTACCATTTTTGGATTCTTTCAAATGGGATGTTGTGATAGGTATTCCCACAATTTCGTTTGTGCATCTAAGGGATGAATATACGGCCATACCACTGATTTAAGAACGACGAGAACGGTAACCGTTAGGGCTGTTTTAATCACTAGAACGTTTATAATCTAACACAATATATACCGAATTCGGTGCAAGTGATTTGCATGTTTCAATGCTGACGACCAATGCGTTGAAGTTTCAAAAATGTGAGATAAAAACCAAATTTATCTTTAACAAGTGGAGGAGGGGGTCAAGAATCGGTGCTGAACCCTTGTAATACTATGATGTGACAATTCAGAAACTTTACAAAGAGTGAAATTGATTTCTATCAAATTGTGTCTATAATCGAATACCTGTTTATGGTGTTTTTGTTGTTCTATGGTCAACCATTAGCATTTTCATGGCAATAACTGTATTTCACATGTACTCCTTGATAAACTGTTTTCATTATATTCTCAAGATTTGCATGGAAGTATCTGGGCCCGTATTCATGAAACCATTCTCATATGCTTAAGCATGGATTTTGTGCTCAAACCAAATTTCTTGTAACTTGCTTAAATCATGCGACATGGTCAGATAGTCAATCGAGAACATTTAAGGTAGAATGCGGATTGTAGCCTCTCCAGAATTCTTCCACTTTATTTTGACAAAATGTAATTTTTAATTAATTAATCACCAGAACAAGAAATTGGGCTTGAGAATAGAATTTGAGTTTCAGTATGAGAACGGTTTCATGAATACGGGCCCTAGACTTACAAAGTTCTTTGTATCTAACACCAACTATGTTTACTACTTTAGGCACAGAAGCATTGTCGAGGTGAAGTTGTAAAGGAGATCGGTCTGCTGCTGAGGCTGAGCCACCCGAATCTGGTGAGTATACGTAAATAACATCGAACAGTTAACTCTGTGGAATACCTAAAAAACTTAGATACCTTAGCGGTGACGTTGTGTTTGTCCTTTTTGCACTGCATTTTGTATGGTAGTTGACGTACAAGATAATATACACATTTTTATTTCTATCTAAAAAGACTCAAACCGAAATTTCGAATACTACTTATCACACAAATATTCAACATATATTCATTATCTGCATTGAAACAAAGATATAGACTTATAATATTTAACAAAGAGGAAAATTCAGTTAAGATTTTTATGACGACAGATTCGTTTAAAATGTAAGTTCAAAAACTTTAAAAATATGATATGATAATTGTCGAACATGGAGAGAATAACAGAAATAGTTCGTCATTAATGCGCCCATAGTAATTGTATTACAGGGATAATTCGGACCGTGAGACCGAGGGAAATATTGACCACAGTCAAATCGATATTCTATAACCTATAACCTTAAATTGTGAAGAAAGGTTTATGTCGTCATAGGTAGGATACCAGTACTAGTACTCGTACCATTTCCCTGTGTTAAGTGTTATAATCCCATACTTACTCAGGGCCCCACCCAGACTTATCCAATATGGATTAACTGTAAGTCAGTTTCTTACTTATACCGTGTGTTGACCTCGATTTATTATAATTTAGATAGTGCATTAAAAATTAAATTAAATATATACATAGTAAAGTCTGTAATCCATATGTAATACTATTAGTCATTTTGTTACTTATAGTACATGATAAATTATATCAAATTTATACAATGTAGACTGTAGCTTTTATGTAATATTTCATAAATATATACGTTATAGACTGTACATTGTATGTTATAAATTTCATATTTAAATACACAATGTAGGCTGTAAGTTAATATGTAATAAGTCATACTTGATACATATATTAAAGGCTGTAAATTATAACTTAATAAATCCTATACTAAGGCCATAGGTTACATGTATATGCTGTAAAATACATTTTGATGTAATATTACACACACATATATATATATATATGTTATTGTAGAATGTATATTATGTATGTTATTGTCGCCTCAATTCTTTGAGAATCGGTGGCAGACTTACACAGTTTCATGAATCTTTATGAAAGCACATATTAGAAATATCATCAGTTTGTCTCAGAAATCGAAATCGTCTCGTATGGGTCTGAGTGAGTTTACAACTGTCAGATGCCCACGATGTTCGTATCATTTATCACATACCTATGTAATCTTACAGTAGTAATACAACAGTTTTCTGTTGATGTTTTCTGTCGGTTTTTATCACGATGTTGTATCACCATACTAGCCGGAACTACTTTTTTATGGGAATCCCCTTGTCATGGCGAACTGAAAAGTTCCCGGTATTTGCAAAATAAATCAAAGTTTATAAAATCTTTGTATCGATCTCTACCAAATACGGAAGGAATATGATAAAAGCAAGACCATACACTTGTGTTTTTCTAACGAATCAGAAAGCACTCATTTATTGCGCGGACGTATATATTCTCTCGTGCGCTCCGCGCCCTCGTGAATATATTCGTCCGCGCAATAAACTCGTGCTTTCTGATTCGTTAGAAAAACACAAGTGTATGGTCTTGCACATTTATTAATACTTATAATGAATACTATGATATAATACCGGTGTACTTGTCTGTTACGTAAGTAAAATTAGACACATACTAAGTACAACGTTGTACATGTGTAACATGACTTCAGTTTAGACATGGTTTTCTTCAAGGAGCAGTTTTGCACCTCTGCCGATGAATTCACATGATGTTCAATGCTACTAGGTTACTAGCATTACACATTATTGTTGACAACAACAAGTCAGAATAACTTAATATTTAAAAGGAAGAAAAAAATGTTTTTTGTTGTTATTATTATTTTCGATATTTTTTTCTCTGCATATGTTAAAATACAGATTATTTTAGAATTATTTTTTTCTGAATTCAACATGATGAAAATATTCTTCACTAGTTAAACTAGTTAAACTATTCTTTTATTTTCACCAACGCACAAATGAGATAATTTGTTTAGAATAAGTTAAAAAAGTTAGGAAGAGGTAGAACAAATAGAATTTGGTAACTGAAATGATCTTGCACGCATCTTCTTTTGTTATGAAACTGGGTATAACTATTTATTTTCCTGTTTGAGATACCAGAATTTACATTTATTGATAACGTAAACCACACTAAGTTAAATAGGTTACTAGATAAAGTGTAGAATAGGGTTCTTCCTGAACTTTTAAGACGTTGAATTCTGCAAGGAGATCTAGTTTGACATTCACTGTCGTCTTGGAATTGAGTAATTTATATATAATATGGGTAGAACGATAACTTCTATAGTCAAGTCTATCAAGGGCTTCTGAAAGAAATATCTAAAACAGCGTATACATGTAAGATCCATTAAATAATAAATAATAATAATAATTCCAGGTTCTTATATGTCGCTTTATCACAACCTAGCTTGTAGGTCGTCTCAAAGCGGTTCACAAATTATTATCCGTGGTTATAAGGCCTTTGCAACCAGCAAATATCTTTCTCAAATCCCTGCCATTTCGGCGCACACAGCAAGCATTTTACAATTCTAGCGGAGTAAAGTCTCTTGCTCAGAGATACAGCACAGTGCAGTGCCGTGACTCGAACCCGCAACTCTTCGGTCACGAGCCCGGCATCCTACAACTAGACTACCGTGCCTCCTATTAAGACAACTAGATTAGATGAAACCCAACTTAGATGAAGACTAATGCGATTTTTATACATTTAATACAATATCTTCATTTTTTATTCAAAGGAATCTTGTTTCAGTATTATTGAGGCCTTTTGTGTATATAATATACATCTTTCCTCCTCAGATACGACTTAAGGAAGTTTTTGAGACGCCAACTAAGTTACAACTCGTTTTGGCGCTCGCTAAAGGGGGAGAACTCTTCGACAGGTGAGCAATTTTGTATTCCCAATCGAAACTTTAAATAAGAGCGTCAGTCTAGAAATCTGCACACGCGTTTACTAAACTACACTTTGATTTATATCGAATTCACAGACTAATTATAAGTGGTTAGTAACACGCTTTTTCATTTGTTTGTGTTTACAGTCTGTCAAGTGATAGACTGAAAAACTGAGAACATATTGCAATGACGTCATACACAAAGTATTCCTTTTTACCAAAACGTAGTCATCTGTCACACGTGAATAACCGTTTGTAAACACGTCTTTTTACATTGCACACTCGAGCATTATAACAGATTTTAGAACAGATGACATGGAAATATTCTCGATGACTTACGGAGATCTATGCCTTATTAGCATCAGCCATTTGAAAGCTCCGGCTCAGACTTTTACTATTTGACATCTTGAAAAGGTGTACTGGTATTAAACTCAACATACATTGTAACGAAAAAGTTAGTTTCGTTAAGTTGAAATATTTCTAAGCTCAAAATAATGCTTTCCTGGTGGAACATTCGTAAACTTCGGGCCTGATCTCCTACTAATGATTTGACTCTGGTTTGTGTTGACAGTATTGAGACCCGTGGGACGTATACAGAGAAGGAAGCGGCACATATCATGAGGGACATTCTGGAGGCAGTGCAGGTAATTACAGCTGTTAACGTAGTAATTAATTGATGAAATGGTTAATACGTTTTTGATTCATTAACCCATCAACTTTACATCTTTCATTAGTATATTTGATTCATTTTTTATATCTTTTAGTATATACATTTCATTCTTAGGGCAGTGGTGGCCAAGTGGTTAATGCGTCTGACATTCTGCTACCACTAGCCCTCCACCACTGGGTCGCGGGTTCAAGGCCTACGTGGAGCTGTTGCCAGGTACTGGCTGTAGGTCGGTGGTTTTTCTCTGGGAACTCCGGCTTTCCTCCTCCACAAAAACCTGGCACGTCCTTAAATGACCATAGCTGTTAATAGGACGCAAAAATACAAACAAACCAAAATTATTCATGAATATATCAAAATTATGAAGTAAAAATGCAATTTTCAGCAGAATCAATATCATGGTTAAGATCATATGTAAAACTGTAGTCTACAAGTAGTCGTGCTGCACATTGGTGACGTAATGACGTTGTAAAGCAGTTCTTATCTTGTAGCATTGTTTTGCAGCAAAAACGCCTTCTTGAAACAAAGTTACGTTAAAAAGATAAACAAACATGATTATTATACATATTTTATTGTCAGTAGTTCATTTTGATCCTCTCCTGTTTCAGTACATGCACAAAAACGGCGTCACTCACCGAAACATTAAGGTAAGCATCTAGTGCCTGCCCTTCTTATCTGCTTTTAAGTGTATGTCCTGTTTCGGTATTACAATTTCATGGGTAGATGCATCCTGTTGATAAACTACATACCGAGGGGTTTCTTTTGAGATTCTTTGGTCTACACTGGATAAATGATAAATCATAAAGACCTGGGCTGAGTTTTACTAAAGGTCGTAAGTCCACACGTAGACGTTAGGCGTAGACGTAGGCGTAACTTACGTCAACAACTGTTTTACTAAAGATCGTAACTTTAATTTACGTGTAAGGCTGTGTCTAACCCTACGTTTACATTCGGAGTTAAGACCTTTGATAAAACAGACCTTACGCACACGTAACTAAAATCGTAACTCGACTAACGTGTCTACGTATCCTGTGTTTGGGTGTTGTGCTATATACGTTTTCTGTTTCATTTTACTCTCTGTTGATGTTGATGTGTTCCAACCCATGCTTGTCATTTGATCATACTTAAATCACAGATTTTTGCATGTTCAAGTCAGTGCACGTTATTGGTGCTTAATTAGGGCGTTTATGATCGGATGACTAAATAAAATATTAAACAGAATATTAAAACTATTCGACGACTTAAACTTTTTTGTTTTCATAGAACATCATTACTTATTTGCTATATAGTTAACTGTGGAATGGTTAATGATTGTTTCTGTTCTGCATTTCTGTAGTTTTTATCAAATATATGCAGTGATTGCAATTTGACCCCAGTATATGCTGGGAGGTTATGATATCATAGACCGGCGTCGCTATCACGTGATTCCCCACACCTAATTGACATGACTAACTATTGTTATTCTTATATACAAAAACTATTGTTGATCTATGTACTCGTACTTAATCATGTGATGTTTTACTATAATGTATTTCAGCCCGAAAACCTATTACTAGAGGATTTAAAAGATATCCCGAAAATAAAATTAAGTAAGTTATCAACGAAGTGTGCAGTGAATAACACCTCTGTACTGCAGTAAACGGTTTGTGAACCATGACGAATGAGATTCATTCAGCGTACCTAGTTATGAATACTAAGTAATTGAATTATCGATACTTGGTGAAAACTCATATATGTTCAGGCACGATGAACAATTTAATGATATTTATGGTAATATTTCACTAACATGAACAATTAAATGATATTTATGGTAATATTTCACTAGTAATTTAACAATAAATCAAACAAAGTATTGGCGTTGTTTGTTCTTTTACACATGGGATGCACGGTTCTTTAAATTCAAGTAATGAAATAAGATCAATTCAAATAAAATTCTGATTGCGGCGTTTACTGAACTACAATTTGAAATATATTCTTCCATACTTACATATATAATATTGGAGGACGAATATCTGAAATTCGTACTTAAATAATTGGTTGTTGTTTGGTGTATATTTGTTATTAAGTTGGTAGGTTCGACAGATTTGAGTTTACCGATACCAATCTTGCAATCAAACATACGTTTGTTTCGGTAATGTTTTAAAGACTGTTTTAACATGGCTTCTTTGTTTCCAGCTGACTTTGGTCTCGCGGTGATACAGGAAAAGGACGTACAGATGAACATGGTGTGTTCTTCTCCAGACTATAGTGGTAAATTAACACCCACACATGCGCAAACATCATACAAAAACTTCCACCGCCGTTTAAGAGGGAAGGTCCGTGGAAATCCAAGCTCAAACCCTCTGAAACACTCGTCATTTCACCATTTGACATGCATGCTCTGTCTGTAAATACAAAACAAGAAACGGTCTAAGCTGCATTTTCACTATCATTCTCTTCAGATATGTTTACCTGGCGCCTCACGTCTTTTTTTTTTATTTTATTTTTTATTTTAACCCTGACGTTCTGTTTAAATGTTTGTCTTACTCTCCCCATAAACGCTTGCCGATGAAAATTTCGACCCTTCATCCGTTGCAGTTATCAGAAAACACGTTTTTCTAATTGATTGGCCATATACATAAACACATTTATTGGTTAATTGCTTGGGTATTGCATTATTCAGCGTAGATTGGATACCATATAATATTACACGGTAGACTCGGGTGATCTTACCATCGATCGGGTTTCTCAGATAGAGTCTATATCGTAGGAAGAAGGTCCTTATTATCAATACTAGATTAGTAACAGAAAATAACACCTTCACTATCTTTACAAATACTACCTTACCTCGTTAACACGTTCTCTTCGTCTTACTAGTACGTGACATATGACACGTTATACCAGTACTGTAAGAAATATTGCAATTAACAATTTATTCTCATTATAATAAAGGAATAAACGTTTTCGCGAGTGTTTTTCAAAACAACTTATTCGCAAGAAATTCAATTAACCAAATATTTTATAACGAATATTGATGTATCAATTTAATGCGCTTGGCTAAATGTTGGCAAGTTATCTGAAATACGCTCCTCTTAGTCTCTAAACACTGTATCTCGTGGTATATAAACGATTAGCCTCAAAACATATAAACGATTAGCGGTAAGTTGAACATCGCCAGTATATAAGGTCAGGTAAATTTTGGAGCACGATCTTAACAAAATTCCAAAGTTGTTGTCTTTTGATGAAATCTGCAGATGCAACCGCGAGGTCGGTGGACGCTACTCGTGATTGGAATTCGGTTTAGCGACAACGTTAAATCATTGGTCTAGTAACGATATCCAATATCTGCCTAATATTACAATTGCAAATGAGTAAAAACGGTATGGAGAGTTGATTGTTGATATTTCTTGAATTTCTAACATTAACAGCTCCCGAGATGTTGCATGGGATACCATACACCGAAGCTGTAGACTTGTGGAGTTGTGGAGTCATCGCATTCGTCTTGTAAGTACACACGACATGTTAAATCACACAAGACATGTTGAATCACACAAGACATGTTGAATCACACACGATATGTTGAATCACATACGACATGTTGAATCACACAAGACATGTTGAATCGCACAAGACATGCTGAGTCACACAAGACGTGTTGAATAACACAAGACATGTTGAATCACACAAGACATGTTGAATCACACAAGACATGTTGAATCGCACAAAACATGTTGAGTCACACAAGACATGCTGAATAACACAAGATATGTTGAATCACACAAAACATGTTGAATCGCACAAGACATGTTGAATCACACAAGACATGTTGAATCACACAAGACATGTTGAATCACAAAAGATATGTTGAATCACACAAGACATGTTGAATCGCACAAGACATGCTGAGTCGCACAAGCCATGTTGAATCACACAAGACATGTTGAATCATGGTATTACGAGTCTTACTAGTTTGTATCAAATTATTTCAGATTTGGAATCATCACCTTTGGCCTGTTAGTACTAAACTAACTGTCCAAGCTTTCATGATGGCTTTTGTGTTTGTTTTGGCTGTGTCGTTGTCTGTTGCATCCTCTTTGGATTCGAAATTTGTGATTTTCTGATTGCGATTTTCTCCACAACCTATTTTTGCCCTGCACTAACGGCGGTCCATTTTAGCTTTAGTTAAAAGCATTGTTGACATGTATGTTTGTGTTATCAGGCTTGCCGGCTACGAACCGTTCCTTGACTTGAATGGAGAAACGTATAAGCGTGTAATGAAGGTTGACTATACCTTTGACGAACGAGCCTGTCCAGAAATCAGTGAAAACGCAAAGGTAGGTCATAAAGTCTCACATCATAGGGGCTTTGCAACCAGACAACTCCCTGGTGAGCATACAGCCGATGTTGCTATTCACAGTTAACATTCAACAATTCCAGCATTGCCTAACCACGTACTCATTTACAGCTGAGTAGACTGGAACAAGCGGGGTATCTTGTTCCAGGAAACAACACAGTGCCATGACGTGACTCGAACCCGCGACCTTTCGGTCACGAGCCCGGCGTCCTACCACTAGATTAAACATTCTGGATATGTTTTGAAACATATATAGACATGGAATTCATTCTTTTGACCTTTGACCTTTAGTACCGCTGGTGAATCCTGAATGGACGAAATGAGCCTATTTGTCAGTAAATATTGACTTTGTTTGGCTTCCTTGTTGTACAGATACAATTTTAAATGAGCGCCTCCTTTCTGCGTTATTCTAATTATTACTGTACAATTCTGTCGTAACATGTCAGTATTGTTTTCCCTTTATGTTCACAGTTGTAACAAACCGTGAAATTCGATTTGAGCAAGTTCACGAATTATTAGTGTTCCATCCTATTTTACTATTTTCCTCATATTTTTAAGATGCAGCAATTTTGCCTCCATCGAAATTTGATAATGGCATTTCCGTGTTTTCTTATTGATATGCTATTTAAGGGAGAGCATTAATAGAAAATGTTCATCAATATCTAAAAAAAAACACCAAAAAAACAATAAAAAAAATACCCCGGCTGCTAACGTTTTACTTGGGGATGCTCTTCCCATTGTATTTAATTCTGACATGTAAGAAACTGAGTAATATCTTGATAAACTTCTTAATGTTTGTATCAAAACACATTTTTAGAAGCCTGTCCAGTGCTCATTCTAATGACGTATTTCATTTGTTAAAGAAAAACATGTTTCTTCGGAAGATGAATACTATTCCTCTCACTGGTTTCATTGATGTTACGTTTCCCTTCCTTACAATGTCCTTAAATGACATGAGCTGTTGATAGGACGTTAAACCATGAACAACCAATCCTATCCTTACATTGATGTTGCGTTTCCTTTCCTTACAATGTCATTACATGACATGAGCTGTTGATAGAACGTTAAACCATGAACAACCAAGCCTATCCTTACATTGATGTTGTGTTTCCCTTCCTTACAATGTCCATACCTAACATGAGCTGTTGATAGGACGTTAAACCGTGAACAACCAATCCTATCCTTACATTGATGTTGTGTTTCCTTCCCTTACAATGTCCTTACATGACATGAACTGTTGATAGGACGTTAAACCGTGAACAACCAATCCTATCCTTACAAAGAATTGAGTATAGCCCTGTCTGCCATACACAGTCGGCAAGAAAACGCCAACACTGCTTAAGTTAATAATTCTGACATGTAAGAAACTGAGTAATATCTTGATAAACTTCTTAATGTTTGTATCAAAACACATTTTTAGAAGCCTGTCCAGTGCTCATTCTAATGACGTATTTCATTTGTTAAAGAAAAACATGTTTCTTCGGAAGATGAATTCTATTCCTCTCACTGGTTTCATTGATGTTACGTTTCCCTTCCTTACAAAGTCCTTAAATGACATGAGCTGTTGATAGGAAGTTAAACCATGAACAACCAATCCTAACCTTACATTGATGTTGTGTTTGCTGTCCTTACAATGTCCTTACATGACATGAACTGTTGATAGGACGTTAAACCATAAACAGCCAATCCTATCCTTGCATTGATGTTATGTTTCCTTTCCTTACAATGTGCTTACATGACATGAGCTGTTGATATGACGTTAAACCATGAACAACCAAGCCTATCCTTACATTGATGTTGTGTTTCCCTTGCTTACAATGTCCTTACATGACATGAGCTGTTGATAGAACGTTAAACCATGAACAACCAAGCCTATCCTTACATTGATGTTGTGTTTTCCTTCCTTACAATGTCCTTACAGGACATGAGCTGTTGATAGGACTTTAAACCATGAACAACCAATCCTATCCTTGCATTGATGTTATGTTTCCTTTCCTTACAATGTGCTTACATGACATGAGCTGTTGATAGAACGTTAAACCATGAACAACCAAGCCTATCCTTACATTGATGTTGTGCTTCCTTTCCTTACAATGTCCTTACAGGACATGAGCTGTTGATAGGACGCTAAACCATGAACAACCAATCCTAACCTTACATTGATGTTGTGTTTCCTTCCCTTACAATGTCCTTACATGACATGAGCTGTTGATAGGACTTTAAACCATGAACAACCAATCCTATCCTTACATTGATGTTGTGTTTTCCTTCCTTACAATGTCCTTACCTGACATGAGCTGCTGATAGGACGTTAAACCATGAACAACCAATCCTATCCTTACAAAGTATTGAGTATAGCCCTGTCTGCCATACACAGTCGGCAAGAAAACGCCAACACTGCTTAAGTTAAGAAAAGAAATTCTTTCTGTTGAATAGATCCTCATATTTCTGATATATATAATTTATTCCGGGCAGGATTTTATACGCAAGATGCTCCAGAAGGATCCAAAAAAGCGAATGAGTGCCGCTGCCGCCCTGAATCATCCATGGGTGAAAGGAAAAGCCGCCAAGAACACACATTTGCTGCAAACACAGGAAAGCATCAAGGATTTCAACGCTCGTCGGAAATTTAAGGTATCGTGTTTCACTGAGAGGTACTTTTAGACTCCGTACTCTGATAGGATAGATTCGGAGCTGATTATACACCATTATCAGCCAAAAACTTTAATAAATGTCGCTCATTGATGGAATAATTTCAGTATTTGTCAAACAGTTAATTCTGTGCTCAAACCAGCTGTTTGATAATATAACTCGCTGAACTAACGCAACCTGATCAGAAGGTGGCGTGGTGGCCCTGAATACAGTAGGGGGTTTAACAGTTCCCCGACACCGAACAAAGGAGGTAAAATTCTGAGATTATTTTAAGAAAAAGAAATTGAGCTAAGGTACAGAACCTCAGTTTGAGCGTGAGAGAAACAGCATGTTTAACTCTTGGTAGTACAGAGAAATAAGTTTTAAAGAGAGAAACATACTGTTTAACTTTGGGTAGTGAGAAGAAATAAGATTTTAAGTGAGAAACATATTGTTTAACTCTGGGTAGTGAGAAGAAATAAGATTTAAGGAGAGAAACATAATGCTTAACTTTGGGTTGTGCTAAGAAAAAAGATCAACAGAGAGAAACATAATGTTTAACTTTGGGTAGTTCGAAAAAATAAGATTTAAACAGAGATACATAATGTTTAACTCTGGGTAGTGAGAGGAAATAAGATTTAAGGAGAGAAACATAATGCTTAACTTTGGGTTGTGCTAAGAAAAAAGATTTAAAGAGAGAAACATAATGTTAAACTCTGGGTAGTGAGAAGAAATACGATTTAAAGAGAGAAACATAATGTTAAACTCTGGGTAGTGAGAAGAAATAAGTTTTAAAGAGAGAAACATACTGTTTAACTTTGGGTAGTGAGAAGAAATAAGATTTAAAGAGAGAAACATAATGTTTAACTTTGGGTAGTTCGAAAAAATAAGATTTAAAGAGAGAAACAAAATGTTTAACTCTGGGTAGTTGGAAGAAATAAGATTTAAAGAGAGCAACATAATGTTTAACTTTGGGTAGTTCGAAAAAATAAGATTTAAATAGAGAAACATAATGTTTAACTCTGGGCAGTGAGAAGAAATAAGATTTAAAGAGAGCAACATAATGTTTAACTTTGGGTAGTTCGAAAAAATTAGATTTAAAGAGAGAAACATAATGCTTAACTTTGGGTAGTGATAAGAAATAAGATTTAAGGAGAGAAAAATAATGCTTAACTTTGGGTAGTGAGAAGAAAGAAGATTTTAAGTGAGAAACATATTGTTTAACTCTGGGGAGTGAGAAGAAATAAGATTTAAAGAGAGAAACATAATGTTTAACTTTGGGTAGTGCGAAAATTTACGTTTTTAAGTGAGAAACATAATGTTTAACTCTGGGTAGTACAGGGAAATAAGATTTTAAGTGAGAAACATAATGTTTAACTTTGGGAAGTGCAAAGAAATAAGTTTCAAAAAGAGAAAAATAACGTTTAATGCTAGGTATTTCGAGCACATAATGCTAGGTATTTCGAGCACATATTACCAGTCTTTATAAAAGATTTATTGGGGATCAGACTTATGAAATCCCTCTTCAGTGTTTAGCGCTGGGATGTCCACACTGTACATTTATTGACCATAATTATGGTAGCCCTAGTGAAACAATCGTGTTTACTTACACAAGGACAATAAATATATTATAATATCAAATATAACAATAACACAACAATAAACATTATTAGGCTTACGCGCCATTGTTGTCGACCGCTTCAGTCACTCAAAGTCTTAAACGTTGTACTCTTTTCTCTAGATAGGTCCCGAATGAGGAAGACACTACCTGGGAAACTCGAGTGCGAAAGGAAAACAACTACTTCTTATTTTAAAATTTTGTGATCAATTTAAGCTATTACGATAAGCCGCTGTATAGATGAGGTATACAAATAGTAATTATTGTAACAGGTTGATAAGAGTCAGACTGATGCAACCTCGCTGGAATGCGTCCCTTTGATTACAGACCAAAATACAGGACAGTGACATACATAAGCAGGGGCGACTTCGTGAGTAAGTCACGTGGTCAATTGTCACCATACGTTTTGCTTGCACGTTGCTAACGTGCTTTGCTTGCACGTTATTCAAATGCTTTTTTTTTCACAATATTTGAATATACAATTTGCACTATATCTGAGTGTCTGCTTCTCACGATTTCAAGTGTATGGATTGCAGTGTCTCTAGAGTGTTATTTCTTCAAGGTCACTACATTGTTATTGCAAAGTCGCTTATGTGCTCAATTTGCAAAGTCACTTTAAGTGTCAGGATTACCAGGTCCCTAGAGCGTTATCTTGTAGGCCTCAAAACTGTTTGGTTTGTATGTTATCTAGATGTCTATGCTTGAAGACTGTACAGAATATCTTGGTTGCAAGTACCTAGAGCTTTTGGATAAATAGCTTTCTCAAATGTTATGCTTAAACGATATCTAGCCTTTTCGGTTTATGAGGTTCTAGACTGTTTTTGAATGATATATCCAAGAGACCTTCTCACTGTTTGGTTTGCAACGTCTATAGACACTTTGTCTGCAAGGTCATCTGAGTGTTTGGTCTACAGGAGAATGTTTGATTTTTGTGGTTTCTGCAGTGTCATGTTTAACGTTTTCGCGAACATGTGTGTTTTAACCACACAATACCTTGTCATACTTCGTGAACTGCATTTTTTCTTATATGTAACCGGATTTTTTCCTTAAACATTTACTGCGTTGCTTCCTATATAAGATATTCACTGTAACGTACTTATTTTTGCGCAATCAGACTTCAGCCTGTTATATACTTTGAACACGGTAGCGCACTGATGAATTGGCGCACCCATAATATATGATATAAAGCTATGTACAGAAACCGTTGGAAATGTTATAATAATTGAGTGCAATCGCTGAAATTAGATCACCACTAAAATATGTACGTTCGCAGTATCTATATCAGTGTTACCTCATATACATCAACATCTATAGCATGTTACCTAATACGTATTCCGATTTCTTGTTTTGTAGTCCCTGACGCACTGTGCAATGCTTGGAGCCTGGATCACTCGGGACATGCCCGACGAAGAAACAACGTAATATGACGTTATTATACATATACTATATATAAAGTCATGTTTATTTATAAATTTAAGAAACACTGTTACTTAAAAGTAAATCCGTCTATTAAAGCTTCAATGTGCCGATATATCGAATTCATGATACAAGTTTTGTACAATAGTTCTGAAATACATTTATTCTGAAGGGATTGTAATGGGTACGAGATGTATTTCGAAATATGAATATAGAAATAAAATGTTTATTTATTAGAATATGATTTGCACGGGTTTTTCATGATCCTGTGTACGATTTGTCTATTTATGACATCACTACCTAAAATTGAATGGAAGACATGCCACTAGTTGACGTAATAAACTTGATATCCTGTCAGTTAAACTAACCGAATATGAAGTAACAAGTAAGCAGCGAAACTTGCGCAACATCCTTAATCGATGCGTCGTGAGTGCATACCTCAACATTGCCATCTCTACAGCGTATGAATACAGAAGCAATTAGTGGACTCGAGCAACAAGGAAATTGGTGGCAGTGGTGAGATGTCAATGGTTACGGTTAATTTTAATCGCTGGATAAGATATTTATCTGGTGTGTAATGTTTTCATCTGTATCCATTACTTTAGTATTTCCTTCAACATGAAGTTTATCTGTGATAGAATTATATATATATATATTGTGATATTTTACTATATAGTACATGTACTATTTTCTGTATATACTGAACATTTGGTTGGTGTATTTCCTGTTATATTTTCTGATAGGTGAATATTTAGTTTACATACCCATGCTATGTAAGGGTAAGAAATCAACATTAGAAACTTCTCCAGACCAGATTCATTTATCTAGAAATGTTTTTTTTTTAGAAAGAACATTTTTAAAAAGAAATTTAATTTTCCAATGCTCTAAACGTTTCTTGTGTCCGATTTTGATAAGAAACCAAATTGTTCATATATGTATGTTTCCCTTGGATTTCACGGGCTACTATATCATGTGACACGCTTGATGTTTGCTGAGGTTTAGGATGTCTGTATAGTTGTTTAAGTGTTCCCTCAGTCCATGTTTACGTGTTTTCATATAAAAGTTGATTCGATTTTAGGTTTTATTTGTTGCTACACGTGTCTTCTGTGTTAACACTTTACTAGACATGTCTTTTATGTTCAGATCGTGTGTCTTTTTTCTCTAACTTACCGCAGGAACACACCAATTAAACTCATTGGCTCTAGCGTCTGATTTTTCAGACAGCGTGACGTCATTAAGTTGACCCCATTACATATGACGTCACTATCAAATATACGCCAGTTATCACACATATATCATATATCTAATATTACAATTGTAACATAACAAAAAATAGATTGTGTTAATATTCGATATTTATATCACGAGAAAGTGTTTAAGAAAAAGTTCAAATAAAGACTCTTTCCTATTTAAACTAAATGTTGACTTATCCCATTGTTTTAACTATATAATTTGACAATCTTTATCAAAATGTTAAATTATTGATTAGTTTGGTTGATATTTATTGATATATGCAAGAACACTACAAGTGTTAACAAATAAACAACTTTTCCAAATGTATCTTCAATATTGTCTTGTTGATTTTAATCGATTCTGGAACGAATCCCAAACTCATTTCTGGTACTGTGGTATTGATACGTCATGGACCTATACTTGACTGTAGCCTATAGCTATTTATAGTCCTTTCCTTCAAATTTACGTCACTTGCGATTACAAGCCAATATACAATGTTACGTTTTAACGCTCAAATAAATATATTCTCCATCCAATAAAGGATAAAAACAATTAATTATAAAATGAAAATATATGAAAAATATCAATGCTATTTTGGCGATGCTATATGTAAGGGGACATAACTCTAATAGTATTGTGAATACACGAATTACAATAACTTTGACTCCCACAACAAATACAAATATCTTTTTTAAATTGTTACACTTCCCAAATATCCTTTTGTGAGAAATGTATATACCGGTATAATTTTTTTCGCTAGAGTATAAATATCCGTCCGAGAAAACGCAAAAAATAACATGAGTTCATATAAACCTTTAAATCAGGTATAACGACAATTTGATTTTTTTTTACCCGAAGTTATATAACTCTAAGCTAGACTTCTTTCTGATCTGATGCAGATTTCAGAGGCAACATTGTCACTCCTTTAATAAACTATGGTTAGATATGCATTCAATATACCACATACTAAACAATTACAGTAAAGCTGAAGAAATAAATAAAAAAGATAAGCCAATGACTAAATTATTTTCTATTAGACTTTTGGATTTTGTAAAAATAAAGATGCTTTGGTTACATGTCCTTATCCTACAATTATGGTGACTAGTACCTTTCAACTTTCTGTTAACAGTTTTGTGTATTGAAAATTGAAAATTGAATAGTTTACGTCATTGCTCGAATGAGCATGATGCCATTGTTTGGGTTGTGTTGAGTGTGAAACATGCATAACTCTGTAACACTGCTCACCTGATAATTGCCATGCGTTTTAAAACACCGTACTGATATGAACTTTTTAAATAAGGAATCGAGAGGTTATACCAAACCTCAGAACACACCAGGACAGTTAGGATTTTTTTTTATCAATAATGGCAGATACTTAAACGTAAAGAAATCGTTTTCTGTAAATAAAACAAACTGAACGAATGCGTATTCATGAAACCGTTCTCATGTTCAAGCATGGATTTTTTGCTCATGCATAATTTCTTGTTCTAGTAATATATTAAGAAAAAATGTTATTTTGTCAATGATTTGGGAAAAAAATGAAGAAACTTAAAGCTGAATACTGTTTTCAATGTTTACATTTGACATTTTGATTGTTCGACATGATTTTAGTGAGTTTCAAGAAAGTTGGTTTGAGCACAGAACCCATGTTTGAGTATGAGAACGGTTTCATGAATACGTGCCGTGTCTTACAGCTGTATTAAAGACCATATATATATATAACTACCTTCTGTTTTCAGTTTCAGTTTCGTTTTCAACAATTTATATCGACAATAATGGAATGGTACAAGTCAAAAGGTTTGGACAACAGCTAGGCCTAAAGCCTGTATAATTCCTCTCGCTAGGTAGCATTGACGAACATTGTCTTCATGCAAGAGGGGTCCCATTCATTCATTCATTCTATAAAAGCATCTGTTTTCCAAGAAAAATGTTCTCAGTTTTATTGTAAAACCAAGGAAATGAAAATGTTAACACGAGTTGTCCCTCTTAGAACATTGGATATTGAATCTTGTTGGCGATAACTTGGCCGGAATGCAAGGAGAATATTCCATAAGAGAACACGAGGCCGTATTAAAATGTTGCGTTTTATTTTATCATCGATATATACATTTTAAACACAAATCTTAGAAAACAGCAGGTTCTGATTAATTTTGCAAAATTGATAACACAATTTTTTGAATCATGTAATTAGCCACGATATTTATTACACACAAAAACTGGTTCAATTACTATTGGAATTCAAAAGCAATTCGCTATTATGATCGAATTTCGACTGAAATGTACCGTTGATATTTGAAACGAGATGTTCATAATATTTCAGCGTTGGGGAGATGTTTTGTTTTGCCTATGGGAACACGATCAGGATATCACACTATCTACAAGCTACTTGGAGACAAACATGTTCGCTGTCTTTCGACGCAACCTGGTTTCATACCAGTGTTGATCTGTCCGAAATATTTCTAGCTCTTCAGACGCCCTCGACTTCTGTAAAAATATGACCGTTGATGTTTTGCAATTCCAAAGATAACACCATCCAGGTAACTATTGTGTAGGCTTAGTCTATTGTCTAACACAATCTGCCTCAAATACTGATAGATCCTGCATCTAAGTTAATACCTAAAAAAACATTTTATGTGTTCATTTCGTCACCTATACCAGTCAATATGGGGGTCACAACACCTAAATAAGCTAATTAAAATGCCATTTTTGTTATACTTTGATCTTTTATTTATATAATAAGCACAGCATCCTTAATTGAGATTATATGTGTCATTGTCAGCTAGTATTGTCCATTGATATGTTGACAAATTCTCCGCCATCATTATATTTTTATTGAAATGTTAGCACAAATTGTTCGTAACATCATTCACCTTCTCAAAACTAGATAATTCCTATGTGTAATATTACAATATCTGGGAAACACAGCTTGTGGCTCTTTTGTCACTTATGTTGATTAGTTAAGGCATGCTCCCCTCTATAAACCTGTACGTAAGTGGTGGTACCAGTAACTGTGGCATGTTTTGTTATCCACAAAAAAAGGCAGGTACTGCGCAGTATTCTTTTCAATACATTGACAGATGCCATTACGTCAATATAAGATTTATTTTTTACTTTTTATAAATGGGTCGGTGGATTTTACAGTGTAAACAATAATGGAACCATATTTATCGCCATGACGTTCAGGAAACTGATAATTTCCGGGTACAATCTCCATCGCGAATTGACATATCCTGAGAGTTTTCCCAGCACATTCATGTAATTATTGTGTGTGACAGTATACCGTGAGGTGTAATGTATCATTTGTCCTGACCAAGAAAAATAGTCGTGACGTCATAAATCTTTGCTATAGAAAGTATCTTGCCCTGACGCTGCCTGGGTAGTTAGCGATGGTTGCTGTGTCTGAAATAATTTGATGTCGCATTGAGACAATGTATTATTTGTTTATGATACTAGCAGACGTTTCTATTGCATACAAGATCATAAGTGTTTTTGTTGTAAAACATTTAAATGTTAGGGAAGAAGGGCTTCGTATAAGTTATTCAATGTGTGCCCAATCCCATTGTTACTCATATTGGCAATAAAAGATGTTAATAAAAAATTAAACTTAAAAGTTTAATACTTTGTGGGGGAAATAATGTACAGCCAAGTTATTTTATTTTGTTAGTTGCGAAAGTTTTATGGCCGTATGATTTTTCCATATAAACGTTTTCGTTCAAAAGACAATTAAAACAAATGCCAGTTGTTGTCCCTCTAAAGAGAACTCGAAATGGTAAACAAAAAATGTGTCGATGTAAAATATTCGGTTAATGTAAGTTGTGATTAATATGAACCCATTACATCACATTCGTTTATTCCCAGGTTGTGTTACACATCACATCCTTGCACTTTAAGGCTGTATAAGATTGTTTCATATCATGACTATAGCACTCTTCCAGAAAACAAACATGTGTTTAGGATATGTGAACGAGCAATTCCCTGCGGTAATCGAGGAACGTCGAAAAAAACTATATCCGGTTATTAAGCGCCTCAAAAGATCACCGAACAAACCAACTATTAGACTTGTTAGAGACAAGCTTTACGTTGACGGCAAGCTGTACACGGATGAGACTGTGCTAGGTATGGACCAACAGGAGGCTCCAGCAGCCCCGACGTATGCGAGTACTGCTGTCGGCGGTACAGCGACCGTAGGCAATGGTACTCGTACATAGGAACGCGCGGAGAGAGACACTTTCAGTAGTACGTTTGAACTCTCTGTACTTTCGTGGAACATTGGCAAAGGCCTGGTTAACAAGCTTAGTGATAGAGAATTTTTGTCCATTATCCAAAAGTATGACATTGTATGTTTATGCGAATGCTGGATAACTGTCAACGATGAAATTGAGCTTGACGGGTATTGTAAGCATGTATTTCCTAGGAAAACTGGGATAGGTGGCGGAATAGTTATCTTCTTCAAGAACTGTTTTAAAGACAAGATATCTGTTGTTGAAAATATGTATGATAGTATAATATGGTTAAAATTGGAAAATAGCTCCAGAGATTCTGATACATATATTGTTTTCTGTTATTTTCCTCCAGAAAATAGTGTTTTTTATGAAAACAATTTAGATGAAATAGATTTATTCCAGTCGTTGCAAGATTCAATTATAAAATATAAATCAAATGGAAAAGTGTACATAACAGGAGACCTCAATGCTAGAACTGGTACCAGATCTGACACGATAATTAATGACGCTTTAAGTAACGAAGTTAACGATTTATTTGATGCTTTTGATTACCAATACGATGATGTATATGATATAAAAGAACGCACAAATATGGACAAATATGTAAATTCTTTCGGTAGAAAATTGTTATCACTCTGTAAATCAACTGGATTTAGAATCATGAATGGACGTCACTCTGATGATCCCGATGGAAGTTTTACATTTTTCAGTGCTAATGGTACCAGTCTTATTGACTATCTTTTAGTGGAGGGTGAGAACTTTCGTAACATAATACAATTTAATACAGGTACATTTGAAACTATGTCTGATCACTCCCCTGTAATTTTTAAATGTAAGCTTTCTTGAAGCTTGGATGATGATTTGTGTGAAAATGAATGTCATGTTAGGTGTGCATGTGAAAATGTAAAATGGAATGATGATAATGTAAATTCTATCAAACAGAATTTGAATGATAATAACGAAGTACTGAGTGAAATATTCTGCTCGCCTTTATTGATTAATTCAGATGTAGAGGTATGCATTCACAAACTCAGTTCATTTATGAATGAAAT